AAAGAACACAATTAACAGATATTGGCAAAAACTTAGAACTCCAGCTTCTATGAACTTTCCCAAATAAATCTACAAAGCTCATAATACAGTGCCTGTTACTGAGAAAGTATATACTCAGTAAACCATAGCTATTTATCTTCTGTGTCAAGAATTGTTTCCACAATTTGAATCAAGTGTTATATGGAACTTTGTACCACGATTTTATCTCTTAATAATCTTAAATTCAAACTCTTATAATACTTTATGGTAACTTATCTCATAGAAATTACAGAATGGAAATCAATGTTATCTCTGATTCTATGAAATGAACTAGATTTATGAATTAGGAGCAGCACCCAAACAACATAATGACTACTACAAAAAAAAAAAAAAAAAGTCAATATTTTGAAAACTAGTTTTATTACAAATGAAGTAATTTTTCAAAATTTAAAAAGGTTAAAATAGAAATTTTTAAAAACTATATATAAAAATGTCATTGTCAAATCCCCATGCTGTTCTTACTGAAATTAACTAAGGGTAATTTCATATAATAATATTGTCACTGATGTTTTAATAATCAAAACTCTAACAGTTGAGAAAATAAATTGTGTGTATGTTTTAATTTTGCACCTATGTTATTATAAGCCTCAGGTAGTAAGCTTTACTCAGGATAGCAATCCATCAAAAATGCATCCTGAATATTTACTAAATTACTATACTATTTGACCTCAATCTCCTATCTTAATAGTTCTTCACTCCTTTTTCAACTCCTATCCTTTAACCTCACAGAGCTATCCACCACTTTAATTTTTTAATTTTTTCTCAGTTTACTGGTCCCTTTTCATCTTGTTCTTTAGCCAGCTTGAAACTAATGACTGTTCATTTGAACTATTTGCTCACCAATGTCTTTGATTTCTTATAGTGCAATTCTTCAGGTGCAACTCTTCAGCAAAATCCAAATCCAAATCCCAGATAAATACTGCATCTGGTCTCTCTCAACTCACACCTAGGGAATGAAGCTCTGTGGGAAAGGAACTCACACACACTAAGAGCAACTTCTAAGTAGTCAGTTTCCACACTCAGCTAGTCACTGCCCTTTAATCAACTTCCCCTCTCATTTCCCTCAAAAAACTTCTCAATCATCACCATCTGCCTCCAAGTCCTTAGTTGCCTTTAGCTCCTCATTTTGACAGGTTAGATAGCCCTCAGTCTTCTAATAAAATTGAGTTCATTAGGTGTGTTCTCCCTGCACAGTTATACCACAGCCAGACCTAGAAAGCAAACCCACAGTCACAGCCATCCTCACCCTATGACTTTTTCCTACTCTATTCAGTTCTGCTCTCCCATCTATAGCAGAGGTTCGCAAACCTGTGGGTCAAATCTGGCTTGCTACATGTTATCATAAATAAATTCTTATCAAAAACAGCCTTGCCCATTTGTTCATATATTTTCTATGGCTACTTCAATGCTACAAGGACAGAGTTGAGTAGTTGGGTAGTTCCTACAGATATCTTATGGTCCTCAAAACCTAAAATATTTACTATCTAGTCCTTTACTGGAAAAGTTTCCTGATCTCTGATTTATATCCTTGACATCCTCCTCTTTCCTAAATCTTTTCCTTCAGCCTGAAAATATGGTCAACTATGTTCTAGTCTAAAAATGTTAGTTTAGGGTGTTTTGGTTTTTTGCTTTGTTTTGCTCCAACTCTCTCCAGGTGTATACCAATTTCTCTCTAGCTTTTCTCATAAAACTTGTCCAGGGAGTATGTAATATTCTCTTTATCCACTTTTTTTTCATTTCTTTTTTCCTGTAACCTGATTTTTGCCCTACTACTTTGTTGAAATTTGCTCATATTAAAATTAATGATGAGCTTCTATCTGTCAAAGTTAAATTTTAAATGTCTAATCCTAAACTAATTGACTCATCTTTAGGCACACTCTCCTTAAAACTCTGTCATCCAGCATTCTTAGCAAAGAGCGCATAGCAGGATCATTTCTAGAGGCTTCCAACTTTATGCTGTCACTAACCGGAATTACTCTTAATTATTATGTTATTATACTCTTAATGTTATTATACTCTTAATATATTATTATACTCTTAATAATTATATGAAGTTGTTGCTTCAGATATAAGGGATTAATTTTACTACTCCAGTCTGAGAAAACTAATCAAGTCACCACAATATTGTGGTAAATGGAAGAAGACAAGCTACTGGAGATATCAGTTAATACACAACCTCCACCCTCACCATATAGGATGCAAACAAACACTTGCCCTTGAAGAACACATTTGCCCCAATTACCCTTCCTTCTCTCTCTTCTAGGGTCATCACCATCATCTATTCACTAGCGAAAACTGACCAAAAGATGTCCAAGACACCTTGGAGTGCAAGGCTTTCTCAGTTATCTCCTAAAGTGAAGAATAATAACCACATAAGGAACACAGGGCCTTTATTTCTCTTGGAAAATTGACATTCCTATGAACTAATGATAAAAATGTTTCTGGAAAATGTGTGAGATACCCTTTTAGAGATGCAGATGATTAATCACAATTTTAACTTCTTATAATGATGATTGGCACAGGATAAGCAAAATAGAAATCAAATCAAATAGAAAGCAAATAGAAACCAACAACACATGTTCACTTATTTAATATGGAACTTCCATATTCTTGAATATAAACCAGCACATTAATGAGCAAAAGTATAATAAAATTGAAAGAACATAATCAGCTTTCTTTTAGGGTAGGAAGACAGCTAGTTAGGATTCTTCCTCACTTATCAATTAAAAGAGTCATGAAACTAACAAGGAGAAACAAATATGCAAAATGACTGATAATTGTAGTCAACATTTTACAAGTACCTGGAAGGGGGAAAAACCCCCTTTATAGTTCTATTGTGGTAGGGATGAATTAACTGTCTCTATGTGACATATTTTTTGATTTTTAAAACTAAATAAAATCAGTTAGAAAGCTAGTGGAAAGACACATATGTTGACTTCTACTCTGTATCCCTATCAAAGATTCATGGGATCTTTGCCTCTAAGTAAAGCAGCATAGCAGCCATGGATCTCACATGGGAAAGTTCTTTCAGATTAGAACAGAGATATCACTTTCTCATACCTCTACCTCACACTCTCTCGTCCCACAAAATCTCAGTTTTGGGAAGGACTTTAATATTGATGCTCTGATGTCCCACCTAAGTACAATTAAGATGTAAAGGCTGTAATAATACAATTAATAAGGTAGATGTTATAAACATGAATGAAAACTTTTATTCCATAGAAAATATATCTTTTTTTTTCCCTCCAAATTCCTGGTTTAATAAGGACTTTTTATTTTGAGGAAAAGAGGTCCCAAATATCAAGCTGTTCACAAAAATGACCCACAGTATCAACTTTAGAAAACAAATATTAAGACTGTAACACTATTTTTCTAGAGGATGCATTTGACATGCCAACTCTCATTCACAAAAATACATTGTTACATTTGTGTTGAACCTCCCCACACATCACACTTATGTGGGGGTGTAACACACATACTTGTAACTCAAAGCTGCTTTCAGGAGCTACTCAACTAAATGAGATTGCCTTTGCAGTTAGGGAAGCAGCTACTGAACTTATGTATGAATGAAAAGAACTATACTCCCTGCATAACAAGAGATTATTCTGGAGACAGTTGATGAAAACTATACATCCTTTTTATTGTTAAGTCATAAAGATGTATCAAAATTAAAAGCAAAAATTACATTCTTAAAACTAGTAGGAGAATCAAAGGAAGTGAAAATGGGACTAGGCGCAGGGCAATAAGAATTAATGAACATGGGAAGGACAAAGATGAGAAGAACAGTGAGCATGTGCTGAAGATACTAGGAGAGTGTGTGTCTGGAATTGGTGGGTTCTTGGTCTTGGTGACTTCAAGAATGAAGCCGCGAACCCTCGTGGTGAGTGTTACACTTCTTAAAGATGGTGTGTGTGGAGTTTGCTCCTTCAGCTGTTCAGACGTGTCTGGAGTTTCTTCCTTCTAGTGGGTTCTTGGTCTTGCTGACTTCAGGAGTGAAGCTGCAGACCTTCACGGTGAATGTTACAGCTCTTAAGGCGGTGAGTCTGGAGTTGTTCATACCTCCCAGTGGGTTTGTGATCTCGCTGGCTTCAGGATTGAAGCTGCAGACCTTTGCCATGAGGGTTACAGCTCATACAGTCGGCATGGACCCAAAGAGTGAGCAGCAGCAAGATTTAGTGCAAGGAGTGAAAGAACAAGGTTTCCACAGCGTGGAAGGGGACCCAAGCGGGTTGCCACCACTGGTTCAGGCAGCCTGCTTTTATTCCCTAATCTCACCCCACCCACATCCTGCTGATTGATCCATTTTACACACTGCTGATTGGTCCATTTTACAGAGAGCTGATTGGTCCGTTTTGACAGGGTGCTGATTGGTGCGTTTACAATCCCTGTGCTAGACACAGAGTGCCGCTAGACACAAAAGTTCTGCAAGTCCCCACTAGATTAGCTAGACACAGAGCACTGATTGGTACTTTCACAAGCCTTGAGCTAGACACAAGGTGCTCATTGGTACCTTCACAATCCTCCAGCTAGACACAAAGTGCTCATTGGTACACTTATAATCCTCCAGCTAGACATAAACGCTGTAGGAGTCCCCAGCAGATTAGCTAGATACACAGTGCTGATTGGTGCATCCATAAACCCGGAGCTAGACACAGAGTGCTGATTGGTGCACATACAATCCTCCAGCTAGATACAAAAGTTCTCCAAGTCCCCACCTGACTCAGGAGCCTCAGGCATCGCTGGCTGCAGGTCCTGAGGCCAGCCCCATGGGGAGGCAATTGAGGCCCAGTGAGAATTTGAGTGTGGTGCAGGCGGGCCAGTAGTGCTGGGGGACCCGGTGCACCCTAGGCAGCTGCTGGCCCAGGTGCTAAGCCCCTCACTTCCCGGGGCCAGCGGTGCCCACCGCTGCTCTGAGTGCAGGGCCTGCCAAGTCCACGCCCACCCGAACTCACTCACGCTGGCCAGCTAGTGCAGACGGCAGCCCCAGTTCCCACCCACGCCTCTGCCTCCACACCTCCCAGCAAGCAGAGGCAGCCGGCTCTGCCTCGGGCAGCCCAGACAGGGGCTCCCACAGTGCAGCAGCGGGCTGAAGGCTCCTCAAGCGAGGCCAGAGGGGACGCCAAGGCGGAGGAGGCACCAAGAGCGAGCGAGGGCTGCCAGCACTCTTTCAGCTCTCAAGAGGATCTGGTGAAAAATTTGATCTCAGACAAGCGCCTAGGTAAAGAAATAATGTAATAAAATTTCTAAACCTCACTATGTGCTTCAGAGTCATCCTCACCATTGGCGCTGTCTCCGTCATCCTCTCCTTCCTCGGCCTCTTTTTCTTCATCCTTGATCAACTCCAGCTGGTCATCCCCCCAGTCTTCATTATCATCATCATCCAGTAGGTCCCCCTCCTCAGCAGGGTTATTTGCACCCCCCTCAGACTCCAACTTCAAATTAGTCTCATCTTTCTTCAAGGAGCTGCTGCTCTGCTCCTCTTCTGACTTATTTTTCATCTCTACTGCTTGTTTGCTCTGTTCCCTTTCAATTTTTTCCAGGTTTTCCAGGAGATAATCCATTTTTTGTTTTATCTGGGTCAATTCCTTCTTAACCGCCTGAAGGTCATCTCCTTTCAACTTTCCAGACTTGGAAGATACCCGCTGTCCACTCTTAAAATTGAAGCTACTTTTTTCCCTTCTTGAGGTGTTTCCTGATACACACGAATGTTTCAAGGGCACTACACCTCCAGCAATAGGGGGAGGAGGAGGTACACGTGCTGGGTAACTGTACCTCCTATTACAATAATCCCGCTGAAAATCATAGTCCAGGTCAAAAGAAGAGCGGTACATCGCTGCAGATGGTTTCACGCCTGCTTTTCCTCCGTTCAGTTTTGGTGCTGCAGTCAGGTTAATACCTAAAACCTGACCAGCAATTATTCTGCCATCCTCTCCTGCTACAGCAGCCTGGGCATTTCTCTCATTAACATATTGAATGAAGCAAAGCCCTTATGAACAGAGCAGCCCACAATTTTGCCATACTTCGGAAAGATTGCCTCCACATCAGATTTCTTGACCACAAGAGTGTTGAGATTCCCAGTGAATACACGGGTGTTCATGGAACGAGGATCTGTCTTGTTGGTAACGTTGCTGGCCATTGTGTTTGATGATAGGGTTTCTCAGAAAGCCGAAAATGTAGCTGAAGATCCAAAAAAATCTCATAGGAATGGGGAGGGAGAAGAGATCTTATTCTGAGTCTCATACTCCTGGGTTCTAGGTGGAGAACCCGACTGCTGCTCTAGGTGGGTATTGCGGCCACAACTGCTCAGTCTTTTTCTCTTCACAAAAAGAAAATATGCCTTCTTTTAACACATCATGGAACTATACAAAATTTTATCATTTATTATGTCACAAAAAGTAGGTATATATTAAAGGCAAAATTCTCTGACCACAGTGATTTAAAGCTAGAAACTAAAACTAGCCTAAAACTAATGTCTTGGAATAAAACTAAATACATCCTAGCCTTTCAAAAATTGCATAAAAAGGAAATAAAATCGACCACTTAGTCATAAAATAAGAATGTAATATGTTACATTTATGGGACACTTTCAAACATATTCAGAGACTAATTACTAGACTTAAAGCACTATGGTTATTTCTGAAAGAATAAAAATAAGGTGAGTCTATATATCAAGATATTAGAAAAAATGCAATAAAAATAAAAATAAAATAGAAAATTAAACAGTAAAAAGAAAATCAGAAAATAATTACAGCACAAAAACTAGTAAGAAATAGAATACTTGGTTCTTAAAATAGACAATGAAATAGATGAACTTCTCACAGATCTAATGAAGACAAAAATAATATATACATTGGGACTAAGGAAAAGAATATAACCACAAATACAAAGAAACTATTTTAAAATGGTAAAGGAATTATATATATATATATGTTACTCTGGATTACCTACAAACATAAACTAGGAACTATAAAACATAAGGAGGATGCTTTGTCACAAAAGCAAAGACTAGGGTTTGGATGCAAGCTATACTGTGTACTAGTTACAGATAAGTTACTCAACTGCTTTGAGCCACATTTTCTTTGTCTGTAAAATAAGAATTGAAAATATCTTTAATAACAATGTTTTCAGAAGTATCGCTTATGTCATTGTCATCATTGTTGTAATTCTCTTTTCTTCCTCCTCATTATTAATATTCACTACCTTGGAGGAAAACTTGATATGTACCCAAACAAGTTGAAACTTAAAAGCTATTTTTCCAACCAATACTTTAATCCATCCATAAGAACCAGGTGCAATGCATACCATTTACCTTATTACCTATTTTTCCCCAAATGCAAGTATTAGCAACATTCATTGCATCTGAGAATATAAAACCTTAATGACATATCCTCCAAGGGAAAAAACTCTTGCCCAACTTATAGGACTTGCAAGGATTGATTCCACTTAATAATGAACGTAGTGCTCTTAGAGTTATATAATTGTCATTAAACACATAGGTATCAAATTTAAAGAAAACCAAGAAGCAGAGCTAAACAACGTTGATACTAAAAAAATGAAAAGTTAGGAATTTTTTTCTCTCACTTATCACTAAATGTGAAGGCTTAATATAAGCCTGGAAGATTCTAAAAACAAGAAGGATGCTTTATTTGTATTAGTCCTTAAAAATCTTAGAATGAGTTAAAAATAAAAAACAGTAAAACTGGAGCTCTCAGATTTATGTATGTCCTTAGGCTTTTTCTTACAGTTTTAATGTGGATTATTATTGTCAGAGTAAAGTGAAATGGGAAAGCAAAATGTAAAATTCGATTTGCAACCCCTAACATTTTCTTCTTTTAGACCTAAGTAACAGTTATTACCAACTTAAAATTTGTGTAACAGAATCTATCCAGGGAAACAAAAACAAGCCATTTTGGTGCACAATTGCAAAATGCCAAAAAACTAATAACTTTGTCTACTTATCTTCTTGTATTAAGATTTTGACCCATTTTGAATTCATTAATATAAATATTTAAAGCACAAGATAATAGAGAGATTAAATAAATACACAGACAGAATATAGTTTTCTACTCTCAAGAAACTCACAGAAGATTTCAGCGGAAAAGAGAAAAATCAATTACAAAACTATGTAATAAAGGTATACTGTACCTATATATCTATATACTATCTCTATTCTATATATCAGAGGATGTTCTATATAATATATAGGATAGAGATATATTTAAAAACACTGGAAACTTAGCATCAACATATAGACTGCTAAGTGCTTCATTTATATTATTTCATATCCTCACTAAACTCTTGCATGTTAAGAATTATTATGCCCACTTTACAAACATAAAATTGAAGTATATGGAGTTTGGTAATATAATAAAGCCAAGATTAAGGTATCAACACTCATATCCTTTTGGCTATCACACTGTTTTCGTTAAATTAAGATAACCCGAGAATTTGTCAAATCCTGAGGTGACAAAATATGTATATATACACTGTTCTAAGATTCTGGATCTTACCATGTCTTTGTTTCTGCATTTAAAAGTGGATAATTAAACTGTCCCCATTAATTTCAGGGGGTTGATGGGAAGATCAAATATGAGACAGTTATTGAAAAGTAGACACACAAAGTTAAGGCATTTATAAAATGAAATGCAGGATTACAGTGATGAAGCTCTTCCTCAGCATTAGAAACTAGGCCAAGCAACCCAAGAACCAGGAGCTAGTTATAGGGTGGGAAATGTATCTGACGCACATTTTACTTCTTTAAAATATTTTAAACATGACAACCTTTGTTAAACAACCTCAAGGTAAACGGCAGCAAAACTGTTTTTGTATCTAATTACTGCTAGAGTAACAATTAAAACACAGACAAAGTAGAAAACTGTGTAACTTTTTTCCTCAGAATTCAATCAGCAAAGACTAGAGATTTGCATAAATGCAGGCCTCCAAAGCAACTTTTTCCCTCTGCAGCACATTCCTGAAGCCCAAACGAAATGAATAATTGCCTTGACTCTTCATTGCATGTTGTCTATATAGCCATCATCTTCCTTTAAACGTGCAGAAAAAAATAGTACTGCTTGTTAGCAGAGAGAAAATCATCTAAGACATTTGTAAGAGCTCTGTTGTCTCTATTCCTATTATAACCCACTCCATACTAGCTTAAGTTTCATGAACCTACTCCCCTTGGAATTCTGTCCTTTCTGCAAATACCTTTTTCCAAGTTTTGTTTTAGGCTTTCCTAATGTATTTTCAGGTCTCTCAGGTGACATAAATTCAGGTTTCTCAAAATGTCTGCAGAGGGACTAAAGTTATTCCTTCTAAGAGGGAAGTGAATTCTGTCAAAACAAATCATACATCAGGAAGTAGATAAATAAGAAAAATTAGATAGTAAAATATTCCACTGATTGGCAAAATAATCCTCATTCATCTCTATTAATTTATTATTTTAAAAATCACCACTATATTTATGTATGTGCAACATTAAATGTTATTCTTTCTCAGGCAGATTAGATCCATGTTTAGTTGTGAATGAATGACCACTGAGAAGCACTTTTAAATTAAATGTATTCTATAATTGTAGATAAATTTTCCATTATGTCTCACAAGAACACAGATACATACACTCATCATACCATGATGGCACTGCATTTGTGTATATTTGAGTACATGGGGAATGCTAGCAAATTTATTTAACACAGAGGACAACAAACAAATTTCTTCATATTGATGCTTCAATTCAGAATGCGCAATACTGTTGACATTTGGCCTCAGGCTCTGACCAGAACTGTTACCATAGAGAAGTGTTGTTGGAATCTGGCTTTCCTGGATGAAATGTTAGACACAATAGCCAAGTGCAGTTTTATATATTAACAGATGCTAATGGGGGTTGTAATTTAGACCAAACCACTTTGATACAATTTGGGAAATTTAGTTCTTCTAAATAAATGATACAACTTTATTGAAAGACACAAAAGATGTCAACATATATCATGTTCTTATATAGGATTACTTAATATAATTAAAATGCCTGTCATCCCAATTTAATATATAAAGTTAGTACAATTTTAATTAGAATTGCAGAAAAAGTTGGAGAAAATCATTCTAAAATTCATTAGAAGAATAACTGTCTGGTAATTGCAGAGATATTCTGTAAAAGTTGGCTAATAAGAAGGTTTTATCTATTCAGATATTAAATCTTACTTAAATGCTATCTTAACTAAACTAGTATGGTAAAAGAGTATATCAGTGAAACAAAGATTAAAAATAGATTCGAGTATGTATTAGAACTCAGTATACGATAAACCCAACATTCTACTTTAGAGTGCAAAAGATAATAAATGTTTTAGATGCATATGATTATCTATTTGTTAATACATAAAGTTAGAGACCCTCTTTACATTATATTCAAAATAAATTTCAAGTAAATTAGTGGTCTAAATGTACATAAGACAATATTTTCAAAAAAAAATTTGAAGATATTTTTGTAAGCTTGATGGTACAAAAGATCTTCTGAAACATAACTTAAAAATCAGAAGCCAAAAAGAAATAAAATTTACATATTTGTCTATAAGAAAGTCAAAATTTTCAAACAAAAGGCAGCAAAAAACAAGCCAAAATACAAATAATAAACTGGAAGAAAATACTTATCAAAGTTATAGTAGCCAAAATGTTCTTAAATATGAAGAGTTCTGCAAAGTAAAAAGTAAAGAACATATTAGAAAATGGTAACTTAAAAAAGCAAAGAACATGAACAGAAATTTGGTAGTAAAGAAACTGCAAATCCCAACCTCAGTTATAAGGAAGATATGTAAATTAAAATATGAAGACTTTTTCATACAACAACAATATTAAAAGCATGTTAATACTATCTAGTGTTCTGAGAAATGGTTAGAAATAACAACTTTCACAGAATTTCGTTGGGAATATATATTGTTAAAGCTTTATTGAAGGGTAATATATGAAATATTTTAATATTTAAAATAAGCCTATTCTTTCACCTTATGATTTCACTGTTACAAATTTGCTTTACCAAAATATTTGCCTATGAGTACAGAGCTGTAAGTCTAAGGATGTTCAATACAATACTGCTTCTAATAACAAATGATTATAAATAATACAAATGCTTATTAATAAATGGTTGAGCAAATTACAGTTTGTCCATATTATAAAATAATAGGTGTCAGTCACTAAAAGAAAGCAGAACTATTGAGCTAGACAGAAGCTCATTATGTATTTAAAAGAAGTAAAGTAGCATATTGTGGTCTTAATTTCTTTGTTGTTGTTTTGGCTGAAAGTGCATTTAACAAAGAACTAAGATATAAAACTGTTAAATACATATATGATATACACACACATCAGAAATAATTTGACAATAAGTTAACACTAGCAATGCCTGGGGGTTGGGTTATTTGATTTTTTTAAAAATTTTTATTGTTTTCCTTTTCTTTACTCCTTATCCAGAAGCAGGGGCTATAATTGTCACGGGATCCTTGGGATGTCGATTTGCCAGCCAGAAACCTCTGTGGCAGGCGGCACCTTCTGCCTGAGTATTGCTCGTGCCCACTGGGCTCGTTCCGCCCACTTGGCCTGGCAGGCTGTGCTTGGCTCACGCTACTGGCCTGGATCTCACACCTGCCAAGGGGGTGCCAGGCACGGAGTGGCAAAGAGTGTATAAGCCAATGAGCATGGAGTCCGGCCACTGTGCACAGTCAGGCATGCTAGCTGCTGTGGCA